GCTTGTCCCTGCACGCATCTGCACCCTCGGTGCAAATCCATGTTGGCACAGCCTGTCCCGGGGATGCCACGGATCCTGGGCGTGAGGGCTCTGCACACACAGCTGTGTTTCTGGAGCCAGTGACCGCTGAGTCCTGCAATACCATATTTCTATGTGGTTTTTCCTACAGACAGGGTGGTTCTCCGGGAGTGCTGGGGGAAAAACAAGACAGGGGTGTCGTAGCAGAAATAATGGACAAGAGATCACTAGTCTCCAGATGGGGGGCATCGTGCACCTGCCCTCCCACACGCAAAGGGGTTCTCACTTGTGCAGGAGCAGACCCTAAGGAGACGGTCTACAAGGAACAGGAGGATTTTCTCTGGAAAATATTCACTTCGCTCCCGTGGTGGAAGCTTATACTGTTGGAGAAACACAGGGAAGAACGTTCCAGCTTGCTCGCACAACCTTTTGAAACACGATGTTTTAAACTCAAAGGGACCATGTGCCCCTGTGTTCTTCAGGGACTTTCCCTCTCGATGAATCTGTCCCAAACAAAGCAATCTATCTTAAGACGATTAAGCAGACATTTTGAACAATGTTTTAATTTTTTAAAAAATTTTTTCTGGTACTTTCTGTACTATCTTTCTTTCCACCAATCTCTTGTCTTAGATGGAGAGGAAGACGTATGGCTTTCCTAAAATCGTGATGTCCATAAATGCCTCTCAAGGAATGTTGGCGTCGCTCCATAGGGAAAGCACACGCGACCTCTCTCTACCTGAGGACGTTTAATAACGGTTGTCCTCAAACTATTGACAGTCTCTCTGGCCCCAGGTTCCCAGGACAAACTCCGACAGATGTCGGAACACACAAGATATTAAGCACCCGTGAGTGTCTGCGGGAGGCATCCCGGTTGCACGGCGGCAAACACACAGCAAGGAATTTGCACAAGCTCCGGGGAGCTGTCGCTCTCGGGACATGGATATAATTCCGTGGATTCTTCATGTCAAACTGTGCTCTGTGCATCTGATGACAGGAGAGGCAGATGGCGCGTCGTGTGAACGGATAGAAGCTGGGGTCTTTACACAATGTTGAGTTCGTGGTGTCCCAGAAAAACAAACAAACAAGAAACAACAACAACAAAAACAGTGGGTTTGCAGGGTCCATGACACTGGGGTTCAGCCTGGGTGTCATTCCCGAGGGTTTGCAAGTTGGGGGAGACACGAAGGTGGCGTCCCAGGGAGGACGCGGTTTTCATCATTGGACACGCCAAGATTTTGACATAGGAGCCTGTCCTTGTCTGGAGACTTGGGCTCTGCCTCCAGAGTCTGACCAGAGGCTCTTTTGTGGACCAGGCTCCCCTGGGAGCTGCGGTTTCATGCTCTGCTTCAGGGTTTGGACCTCGTGGGCATCTACGTGGCTGCAGCGGCACCACGAGGGATGACGGGATCCTATGCATTCTATTCTCACATTTCATAAAAACGGAACCGTACACTGTTGTCTCCTTTCCTGAGCGCCTTCTGTCTCTAAGCATGATGTGTTTGTGGTTCATCTCTGTTAGCATGGGTCGCTAGTTTTTGGTGTGGTTTTGGTTTTTGCATTGTTTTTTATTTGCTTTTAAAATATCTCCAAGCGTCCGTGTGTTTTCCGCAAACCAGGGAGGCAGTGCGTTTGCAAGCAAAGGAAGAAGGAAGGGGCTTCGGTGAGGCTGACCAGCCCCCTGCCCTCATGGGACATTGGCTGTATGCCCTGTTTCATGGTCTGCAGCGTGCCTCCCTGCCCATGTCCCTGCATCCCAGATGCGGCTCGGGAACACGTATGTTCAATGAGAAATGCAATGAGAACCATCTGGTCTGGTTTCATTGCCCCTTGATGGGTCTCTGAAACCCAGATCCAGACTCATTTGTCAAGTGTGCTGGGCAGAGAGCAGGGAAGCTGAGCCCAGACCATGCACAGAACACAGGAAACGCCCGGGATCTGACCCCGGAGCAGCGTCTGCAGCGGGGCAGAGCAGGGAAGCAAGAAACAACCTTCCCCACCTTCCATGCACACGTGTCCTGCCAGGGTTTCCTCAGGAAATGCTTTGCTGAAACCTCATGGAATGCAACGTCCAGCTAATTAACGGGAATTAACGTCAACGTTCTGCCCCCGTTGCCCTGCCCCCTCGTTGGAAGGTCCTGTGGGAGAGCGAGGAAGACCCCCACCTCCATGGCTCAGTCCCTCCACCAACAAACTTGGAGAAAGGTGTTTGGTTCCTCTACCACATTCCCATAGTGGTCCCGGGTCCTGGAGCCACGAGACCAGCCCCAGGCTTCTTGAAGGTTTGCACATGGACAGGAGATGGAGAAAGAACTCTCCAGAAGCAAACGCTCTAAGAAAAGGAAGGTGGGACGGTGCCGTCCCTTATCTACAACAGGGAGCCAGTTGCCTCTTGCTCTCCTTGTGGAGGACTACCTTGTGTGTATTGTGATTTCTATTCATTGCTACTTGTCCTTTACAGCGGAAAATGATGGAAAGGTACTTTCGGACATTGTTCTCCTTTTCAGCACACCTGATGTTTGAAGGAGTAAAGGCTGCTTCTCTCTTAGGGGGTCTGCTGTCTGCAGGATTCGGGGCCTCTGCGGGAAGCGGGAGCCGGTCCATCCGCGGCCCCAGGGTGCCACCTGCTGACAGACGGGCATCTCCGGCCCCAGCAGTCCACGCGTCGCCATGGCAACAGCAGAAGGACACACACACACACACACCCCTCTCCTGCCCTGCAGGCTGTCCTGAGAAGCAATGGGGTCGAAGTCAAAACAGGTGTTTCCTGGAGCCCTGGAGGGTCACCCCTGGAGAATCCAGCTGGGCCCACGGAGGCCAGAACACGCTCTGCGACCCGGAGCTGGCTGGCACCATCTGAAGAAGGTTTTTGCACCGGCCACGCATCCCCATCTCCCCCGGAGGAGAAGCGGACCCCTCTGTGGGCCAGGCTTCCCGCTATCCCGCTGTCAGGTCAGCCCGACCCAAGCCCTCAGCAGGCCAGGGTCGGGCAACCTTCTACGTATCCCTGAAACCCGACCTTGTCACTGGCAAAGATCCAACGGGGTCACGTATTAACCCGGACCCTCTCAGCCTCAGCACTGTGGAGATCTGGGGCTGGACCACTGTCTGGGGCCTCCTGGGCCATGCAGGGTGATGAACCTTGTACCTGGTCCCCACCCTCCATGAGCAGGCAGGACCTCCTCCTCAAGGGACAGCCCAAGAACGACTCCAGACCGTACCAAAGTCACCCCCTTTGGGACTCATGGGTTTCAACTCCTTCAAACTCACAGAAGGTCGGAGATACACGGGGCTTGATACATTAACCAGTCCCGTTCTTTAATGGGAAGCCTGCAGGTCCAACGAGGCCGATGTCCTGCCCAAGGTCAGCTTACTCTCAGAGGCAAATCCTGGGAATAGACATGGCCAACCTGTGTCCTTCCTGCTTGCAGGGACCTCCTACAGCGTCAAGATTATCTACGGGTTCCCGTGCAGCCCTGTGGAGGTTAAAACAATGATCTTGTGCCAGCAGGTGCTGTGTCCAGGTCTCCGAGACAAGGGTATGACTGCCAAGTGCCACGGATGCTGAGATCAGAGCCCCGGGCACCAGGCACCTCCCCAGGCCTGGCCACACCCAGGAATGACTCTGGTTTTAAGCAAACTGGCTGGACTCCCGGCACGGGACACTCTAATGGGCCACCTCGAAGCCATGGGTTGTCCGTCGTAATTCCCTAAATCCTATAGCACTAGCCAGTATGTGGGATGGGTATTGGCTAGTCTGGGAAACTCGACCCCTAAATTCAGGGCAGAAAATCCTGTACATGGTGCTCAAGAAGTTAGTATTTGGGGGAAAACACACACACACACACACACACACACACTCACACGTGTGGAGACATCATTATTCAAACGTTGCAATTGCATGTAGAACAGGCAAGTTCATAGACACGAACCATTAGATGCTGGGGGCCAGGGTCTCAGGGAAGGGATAGGGAGTTAGTGCTTTATGGGGACAGGGCTTCCGTTGAAGGATGAGAAAGTTCTGGAGACGGATGGTGCCCACGGTTGCCAGCCTTGTGACTCCGCTCAGGGCCACTGCACGGCGCACCGAAAAAAGGTTAAAATGGCAAATTCCACAGCACGTCCAGTTTGCCACAGTAAAAGAAAGATGAAAATAAGTTGCCGTTATGGTGCCAAGGGAGATAGAGAAGGACAAAGGCCGTGTGGTCTCACTTGTACGTGGGATGTCAAAGGACACGAGAACCAAGGTCATGGACGCAGAGAACAGAGTCGCGGTTTGCCGATGTGGGAGGCCGGGTGGGCGAAATGGGTACAGAGAGCAAAAGGCGCAGACGCCCGGTGCCCGCTCGGGTCAGCGCTGCCCCCGACGTGCAGCGGGGGACGTGCCCCTGCGCCAGCTGAGATCAAGACAAAATCTACAAGAGCGGAACTCGCAGAAGCGGAGAGCAGAAGGGCGGTCCTCAGGGGCTGGGGATGGCGCTCCCAGGGCACAGACCTCCCGTGAGAAGCGGAATGAGTCCTGCGGCCGTAACGTCCATCAGGGTGATGGTAACGGACCATCCCACGCTTGCCCGTTGCTGAGACAGCAGATCTGAAATGTCCTCGATGACAACAATAAAAGAGCCACCCCGGGAGGTGTGTGGGTTAGCTCGACGGCACTCATCTGTGCCCAGCGTGTACGTGCATCGGAATACCATGTGGTGCGGCTCACAGGTGTACAGTTTTGTCCGCTACGCTGGCAGAAATGCAGGAAAACGGAGTCGAACGGGGTCGAATGAAAGAGAATTCGGCAGGATGGGACGGAATAGGGTGGGAGACACAGAACAGGTTGGGATAGAGCACAAGAGAGCAGAATACAACAGAACAGGACAAAATCAGCAGCGTGATGGGCAGTTGACAACAGTCAGCAGAGACCCCCACTCCGCTGTCAGTTCCCCAGAAATGCTGAAGCTCATGGACCCCCCCCCCCCGTTACCAAGGGTGTCGGTTGGGTCGGTCGCTGCAGACCCACGGGGAGCTACCTCCTGGCGAGGATGGCATCGTAAATGCCCCCTGTTCTCCTGCACTGGATGTCCTGGAAGCCGGCGGGAGCCAGGAGCGCGTGGTACTGGGCGGGGGTCCGCTCCCGGCCCTCCGTCTGCACCACCATGTTCAGCGAGTACAGCTGCGTGGTCAGCGGGCCCCGTCCGTCTGCATCCAGGAGGCTTTCAATCACCAGGATGCCACCGCCTGGGACAGGGAGAGATGGCCATGAGCAGGGGACCAGCCATCCTGAGGACGCCCGCTCGACCTCAGGCGCTAGCTGCCCCGGCCCCTGGCCCAGCCGGCAATCCCACTGCCCCAGGTGCCTTCTGCCCTCATGCGGCCCCACGACCCACCTGGTTTGCAGGCGCGATGGACCCTTGCCAGCAGGTGTGAGCACCGCGTGTCGGTCCAGTCGTGCAGGACCCTGGCAAGGATGTACAGATCTGCCTCCGGAAGCGGGTCTTTAAAGAAATCTCCTATAACACAGGCAGGTGCCCTGGGGTCGGTCTGCAAGTCAACCCCGCATGACCGCACCTGCACCCGGGATGCAAAAGTCACCGGACGGTGTCGAGCTGTCCTCACGTCTTCCCAGCAGGGACGGGAAGACCTCGCCCTGAGCAAAAGAAGTCTCGGGGAAGACAAGAAAACTGGGGACGGTGTTTGGGGTCCCCTTCCATCCTTCGGATATGCAAAATGATTTTATTTTTCTCTTATTTCCTAAGGTTGCAAGTACACAGTTCTCCAAGCCTTGATTCCAGGGCGCCCCGAGCCATCGGTCAGCAGCTCCTGTGTGACGCGTTGAAGTACGTCAACAGTCCATGCGTGTTTTCCTGATTGAAAAACAAAAATGCCCAAGAAAGACCCTCCATGCGTCCATGGTGTCAAAGATTCAAGTCTTGTAATATTTTTCCTGCAAGAAGTACGAATTTTGGAAGAAATCTTGGGTAGACCTGTGGTGTGCGGGGTCAACCGGCAGCCAAATGTTGTCCAAACTCTACAAATTCGCAGGGATTTGGGAAGAGTGTGCCCTGGATTCCGCAGGGGTCAGTCCATCACTCTGCCCTGTCCTGAGGCCCCCAGGAAATCTGAGGTCCACAGGCATTTCCCTATGATGTAGGAAAAACCACAAGGGGAGTCCTCCAAACGGATTTTCTTCCATCAGCCACAGAAGACGGGGCTTGGCAAACTCTGGCCCGGGGGCCACATTTGGTGGGTCGTATGTTTGTGTGCAGCAGGTGAAGAAGACAATCCAGACCCCAGGATGACGAACACACGGGCGGTTTCCACCAGGTTTCCCTCCGTGAGCAACGACGAGGACAGCAGAAGCCCAGCTCAGCTGTGTAATAGCAACGTAGTCTGCTCTCTCGCCCGACCCCCACAGCCTCTGAAGTCCGTGTGTTTCTCCCATTTTCCAGAGGAAGCACATCAGTTCGTCCCAAGACTTGTGATAAAGACTCCCAGAGGCCAGGTTTGGGGTGAGGCGAGTCAGGCACTCTGCTGGGTGCAAAATTAAAGGGGCCCCAAACCTGGTCATCAAGGTTTCTTATATTTTAATGTGATGTTTTTAAAAAAATGAACAGTAAGCCCCCCCCTCCCCCCAATATCCATGATGGTCAAAGCTGGGGGATGTTACATAAAGCCAGAATCCAACCCTACGGGTAGATGACCCCAGCCACGTTGATCTGAGCCTCAAAATGGCAAAGTCTCCCTAATCTTCTGAGTCAGCAGATGTCCGCGAGCTTCCCTTCAACCCCGTTCACGTACCAGCATGGATTTAGACACCCGCATGCAGGTCTTGGGGTCTGCGTAACAAAAGCAACACCAGCTGGGGGCTTAAGCCACTGGAATCCATCCCCTCCCAGCTCTGGAGACCACAAGTCTGAGATCCAGGCGGGGCAGGGACGCTGAGATCCAGGCAGGGCCGGGCTGTGCTCTCTTCCGAGACTCCAGGGGAGGGTCCTTCCTGCCTTTTCCAGCTTCTGGAGCTCCAGGCATCCTTGGGCTGGTGGCCGCGTCCCTCCCATCTCTGCCTCCATCTTCACATGGCTTCTCCTCTCTGTCTGTGTCTCCTCTTCTGTCTCTTACAAGGACCCCTGTCCTTGGATTTAGGGCCACCCTGACCCAGGATGGGCTCATCTCAAATCCTTCCTTTCATTACTCTGCAAAGACCCTGTTTCCAAATAAGGCCCCATTCACCAATCCTAGGTGGACACAAATTTTGAGGAAACAGTCTTCCATCCAGCCAAATGCTCAAGAAAGAACTAAGTGTAAGGACACCATCTAGCCGTACGCTGTTTTCCAAGCGTCGCGGACAGTAATTCTAAGTTGAGGGCGGTTGCCTGCAGGCAGAGGAAGCCGTGCCCACGGTGCAACCTCGGCCCGACCTGAGCCCCCAGGGGAGGCATCTGTGTTTCCCAGTGCACACGCGGAGAGCACAGAAGCAACCCACCTTCACGGAAGCTGATCCGTGGGTCCTCCAGGAACGAGAAGTGCTTTTTCACCGTCTGGATCACCTCGGGGATGTCAAACACGGTGACCTGACACCCGGGGTACAGAGAGGTGCACTCCTTGGCCAGAGCCCCAGAGCAGCCTGGAAGTGGACACAGAACAAGACAGGCAGACAGGAAGGTATGAGGAACATGCGTTTTGGCTCACCATGGAGCCTTGGGGGACGTCCATATGGGGGACATGATTCTGCCCCCCATGGAGGTGTTCACGGCTCCACCGTCACCCATGAGCCCCCGAATCTTCAAATCTTCCTGGCTGGACCAACCCGCTGATCACCATGACCCTGTTCTGCATGCCTCATAGGCAGACACGCACTTGGGAACCACGACAGTCCCATGTGGGGCTGCCCCATTATCTGAGGGTTCTGCGGCACAGAGAGACCATGGAACATGCCCAAAGTCGCACAGCAAACCGAGCACAGGGGCCACTTTTGAATAAACCACACTAGGGCCCCCAATCATGGCACCCTGCTCCCAGAGACAGTGGAGGGGAGGTTGCCCTGATGCGGGCTATGGGTATGAGCAGCTCAGATCTGGGGACCAAAGACTAGGGGCTCCCTGGATGGACCTCGCAGCCTGTCTGCATCCCAGGCAGCTCGGCCCAAAGCAGCAAGTCGTTGTGTTGCTCAAAGGATGGAGCCGCACCCAACGTCAGACTGGCGTCACCCCGAGAACGTGCCCCTGGGCCAACATGGTGTCAGGAGTCCTTGAATCCCCATCTAATGGGGTTCATGCTCCTCATGCCTCCTCTATGGGACCAGCAGGGGTGGTCAGGGCAAGAGCACTTGCTTGAAGGGGACCAAGAGTTACACCTGGCCACCCCGACCTCCACCCACCCTTTGGGACAGGGACGACCCACACCCACCACTCTTGCGTCTGCTCTAGGATGTGCCACACTCAGTCTTCAGCCCCAGCAGATGCTCAAGTCACGGGCATCCCTCTCATTCGTGGTAGCATCAGGACCTCCAGAGCCCAGAAAACCCGGCAGCCCCTGGCAGCCCCACACAGTGCTTTGCCTGCCCCAGGAAGGCAGCATGGGAAGGTCGACTAGATGGGCCAGCTAACTGCTTTCCAAGAGCTCCATGACTGGTGCACCCCACCATGGTCTTAAGCCTTTCGTGTCCCACTGAGCAATGCCAACATCGACATGTGCATGGCCTGGGCACCAGCAGCATCCCTGGAGGCAGAGAGTATCTGTCCCACCCCAATACATGGGGTCAGAACCGCAAAGGGTGCACCCGGTTCCAGGAGAAGCTGGGACCCTCTCAGCCTGCAGGACATCCGCGGATGCTTTCTCCCCGATCCTGAATGTCGTCCCAGTCGTCTTCCCTCCCCAGGGGACACTAGGGAGCACGCTAGCCCCAAGACACAGCTCCATCTGTGGAGCCAACACTCACCACCAACGTCGCAGATGAGCGGGAATGGGGACAGGTCAAAGGCGGCCAGCACGTGCCTCCCGCTGATGCTCCAGACGTCCTCCAGAGCCCTCATGAACTGCAGCCGCTCGCCCTCAGATCTGCACGCAAAACCACGCCCATCAAGACCATGTGGACATCCAAATCAGGGGAGAAGCACTGGCTGGAGTAGGGGACTTGGACGAGGGCAAAGCCCAGGATGAGTTGGGAGGTACCACCCTTGAGGACTCTGCACCCCTGCCCATCCTTCTCCCCTTTCCCGGCCCCCGGTCAGCTAGGAACCCTGCAAAGAGCCCTCAGGGCACCGACACTTGGGGGTTGTGGAACCAGACCCTACGCCAACAGCAGCGCCATGTGCATTCTTAGAGCCGACCTACTTACTACCTGGTGACTCTGACCCAACCAAAAGCCATTCCTCATTTTTCTACATCACTGTTGCTTTGTGTAGAGCCCCTGGGAAGGAAGGACAGATTCCCACCTGCTCAGGACACTGACCCACACCAAAAAATCAGTCCTCTTTATTTATTTATTTTTATTTTAAATATCAACGTCCCTGTTTTGCTCTGATTGGACCCATGTATTCCTCGCGGCGAGTGCGTTGAAAGACCATCCCGCAAGTGTGGGCGCTCGGCATTACCTGTAGATAGCAGTGAAGAGCTCGTCCGAAGGAACCCCAAATGCCTCCGGATACTGGTTCCTGCCATCCCTGCAAACGGGCAATACATGGTCACCCGGGATCTGACACGTTCAGGGAGCACCCGCTGGTGCACATGTGGGATCACACAACTTCACCTCCTCTCACAGACAGGACAAGCAGAGGACAGGAGTCAGTCACCAAACACACGCTCGCACCCCCTTCTGGGCTGGAACACATGTCTGCTCAGGGCGGCAGGCTGCACCACGAGCCCAGCTCTGCCGTGTGACCAAAGAAGCAGTGGGCTGTAAAGACATCTGAAGGAAGTTTGAAAATAACGTGCAGTCAGGGGACACGGAGGTCCACAGGACTCATCTGCTGGCCTCTGGGGACAGGAGAAGGATTGCTGGGCTATTATCAATACCTATCAGCACCTGTCATCTATCTATACCCATTTATCAATATCTATTATTTATATATGTCTATTAATACATATCAATATCTATCTATACCTATCAATATTTAATCGTCTATTATCTATTAATATCTTTCAATACCTATCCATCAATATCCATCTACTATCAATCTCCCTACCTACCTACCCATCTACCTATCCATCCCTCTACCTATCATCCATCCATCTACTTGTCCATACATCCAACCATCCATCCATCCACCTGTCCATCTAACCATCCATCCATCCATCCATCCATCCATCCATCCATCCTTGTACTGTCATCCATCCATCCCTATATCTATCTATCTATCTATCTATCTATCCATCTAACTATCATCTATGTGATATAGATCCCTATATCTATCAATCATCCATTCATCTGTCCATCATCCATCCACCATCCATTTAACTGTCCACCCATCAAACCAACCATGTATCATCCACTGATCTAGCCATCCCTATACTATCATCCATCATCCCTGTAGCTATCAATCAATCAATCATCTGTCCATCCAGCCATCCATCCAACCGTCCATCCATCCAGCCATCTAGCCATCCCTATATCATCATCTAGCCACCCCTATAACTATCCATCTATCCATCCATCCATCCCTATATTTATCAATCATCCATCCACCCATCCATCCACCAGCATCCACCCATCTAGCCATCTCTGTGCTATCATCCATTCATCCCTATATCTATCTACCTACCTCTCTACCCGCCCATCTATGTATCCATCCATCTGTGCCGTTGCTTTCCAACTGCAGGTGATTCTGCGCCAAGACGCACTCGTCAATGTCTGGGGACATTTTTTTAATTATCACAACTGGGGAGACTGTAGTGGCACATGGTGGGAGGAGACCAGAGACTGCTGTACGCCCTGCAGAGCCCAGGACACCCCACCTCAGAGACTGGTCCAGCACCAGACACCCACATCGCCGAGCCCAAGAGCAGCTGTGAGACACACAACCATCACAATTCAGGCAGAATCTTGTTGGGCGCCATCTTCCCCACCTTGTCTCCTCGGGCCGGGGCCCTTTCCCTGGAGAGAATCAAAGCACAGGACTCCTAACAGGGCGGATTTGCATTTCTTGAATTCCTTCAGCCAGGACCATGAGGGTTTCTCACATCTGCTCTGGCTGTCCAGACCTAGCCGTGTCGTGTTTGATCTACAAGAAACCTGGCACTTCAGCTGCACAGACGCCACGAAACCAGCCCCCAGGGAGCCCCGGCGCAGCAGTACACGCCGTCAAGGCCATGCCCACCTCACAGCCTGGGCCAGGTGGCCCCAACACAGGTACGTCGTCCTGGCCAGGTACCGCAGCATGTTGCCTTGGTACTTGGGGCTGGCCCTCACCAGGTAGGTGCTAGAGAGCTCCGTGTTTTGATACAAGGCTGAAAACAAACACAGGGAACACAAAAGGCGAAGTTAGAGTCCAGGTCCTTGCCGTGCGCTGGCGCCAGCATTGGCAACGTCAGGATTCTCGCATTGGCAGAGCCGATTCTCGCCTGGGGGCTCATCTTGAAGAGAAGGGGGGCCACTGGGCACCTGGCACACCTGCTCGATTCCGTTTTGGCAAATCCCGTTGGAAGGTCTGGTGCAGCAGGTGGAAAGGGCAGGAGGCTGATGGGGAACCCTATACTATAATCCGTGGGCTTTAAAATAATAGCCGAAAGGGACCTCCCCTCTACTGGTGATACGACCATCTCCAGAATGGGAATCACGTGGACGGAGCAGGGACTGTCCTTCTGCCACGCTCAGCCAAGCAGCAGGCAACCAACCCCGGGTGAATGCCATCGTTCTAACCATGCCCTGCAGACAACGTGCAGCCCCAGGACCGCAAGGGCCCCGGTGCTCTCTGGGCCAGTGCCCTGCTGTGAGCTACCCCATCCTGCAGCATCTGCAAATGGCCAGTCCCGTGCCCGAGCCTACCTCCCTATCCCCTCTCGTGGAGACCCTGCTTCCCACGGAGCCCATGCTGTCTTGTATGAGGTGGTCCCCAGCTGGGTGTCGGCACCCACCCAATGCCCCAGGGCCAAGGGACAACTGATAATTGTGCCAGACGCCGCCTCCACTAGCATTCCCTGCCCCCGCTGTCTCCCAGCAGGGGTGTCCTCCTCGGGGTGCGAGCTCAGGGTCAGCCACCCCTACGTGTCATGGGCAAAGACTGTTCTCAGGGAGCGGTGAGCGCTGGTTCCAGCTAGCTTGCACCCTCGTGCCTTCTGGATTTCCACGCCCGGGCTTCTGAGAGTGGTCAACCCCCACAAGATGCTCAAGCTTTCCCATCCCTATTTGTAGCCCACAACCCAACTGCTGTATGACTCCATGCCATGAGCACAAAAGCCACTGAGCACCGCTGCCACAGCCGGGCCAACGCTCCTGTTCTTGGGTGCTCTGGTTCAAGCAACGCTTTCCACATTCACCACGTCATGAATCTACAATTCTGAAAATGGTCAGAATGAGGGACATACAGTTGAAACTTTGATGTAGCAAAGTAAGAACATGAAAAGAAACCCCTAGTCATCACCATATTTCATAAGACAGAAGTCATTTCAGCACTAAAATGAGAAGGTACTATCATAAGGAATGGCAACCCTTTAGCGAGATAAATCTAGTTTGATGAAAAGTACTCCCATGTGATTTTTCCCCCCATTTTTTTCTTGCTCCTTGGATACTTTGTGAGGGTACCAATGTGTACACCAGCATGTAGAGACCTCTCTAGAATGACGTCAGCGAAACACAGCCTGGGCGCTCAACCTGGCCCACTGCTTGTCTTTGTAAATAAAGTTTTATTGACACCCAGCCATGCGCATTCATTTACGTCATGGCTACATGCTTACCTTTTCCCCTCCTGGTTTCCGCCTGAAGCAGTTTCAGGGACACGCATGTGTCCAGCAGGAGTTCCATCCCATGGGAGCTGGTGCCCAGTCGTGCAGCCACTGCCACCGCACCCAGGGGCTCTGGGGCCTCCGCGAGAAGGTCAAACACGCCCAGCTCACAGGCAGCAAACAGAACCTCGGAGACAAGGGGCCAGCTTTGAGCGCCCTAGGAACTGCCCTCACCCCAGGGAGCCAGGGGTTTGTTTTCAGGGGACACTGCACTGCTGTGGGAAATGCTATGGCTGTTCCTTGGAAAATCAGTCACGGAATGGCCACAGAAACCAGAAATCCCACTATTCTGTGTGGCCCCAAAGAGTTGAACGTGGGGCCTGGGAGAGATCCTTGTACACCCGTGTTCACAGATGCACTGTCGGTGGCCAAAACATGCATTTTTTGTGCATTTTTATGGCCAAAACATGCAGTTTTGTGGCCAAGCATGCATTATGGACAAATGGACAAACGAATTATGGTCCATGCACACAGTGGACTATGACGCACCCTTGAGAAGGAAGGGTGTTCTGCCCCTGTTGGGACGTGGGTGGGCCTTGAGGACATGGTGCTCAGTGACATAAGCCACACACAGAAGGACGAATCCTGTGTGATTTCATGTAGGTGGGGTCCCTAGAGGAGTCCCACCCACAGAGACAGAGAGTAGAGGGTGGGGTCAGGGGCTGGGGACAGGGATGGGGGTAGTGGTTCATGGGGATAGAGCTTCAGTCTGGGGAAGATGGAAAGTTCTGGAGATGGATGGAGGGAGGCGGTTGTCCAACAGTGGGAATGAGCTCAGTGCCCCTGAGCTGTGCACGTAAAAACGGTGGAGATGGTAAAATTGATGCTATGGCTATTTTAAAATGATAAAAAAAAATTAATAATTTTTTTAAAAGTTAAAGAATAAAAGTAAAATTTTCAAATTCAACGTTCGAACTCATTAAAATTTGAATTTGAGTTTCAAACTCTAAAACAAAATGCGTACAATTTAAGCAAACATTCAAATATTTTAAGCAGAATAGCTAGCATAACTAAAACGAAATAAAAAGAAAAGAAAAGAAAGGAAATGAAAGGAAACGCGCTGCCACTGTGCACTTGGAAGGACCTGTTCTTGCGGCTCCAGCAGCTGTGGGGTTGACCAGCTGTCCGGAGCTATGGCATCTGTGAGACAGGTTGGTCCCCAGGGAGGGCGAGGGCCGGTGCTGCCCACTGCGTCCAGGGTGCCGCGGAGCCATTCTCTGGCTGGTCGGCTCGGGGAAAGGGAGAGTCTGACCAGGTCTGGCTTCTGCAGCATCCCCACCCCGACTGTCTTCAGTAGCTCGGCACTGAACCCCTCCCTCCTGGCATGCCCAGAACGGCATCACTCGGAGAAGCCAGCAGCCTGGGAACCACTGTAGGAAAGAAACACCCTCTGAAGGAAACCCGTGGTCCCCAAAGAGAACAGCCGCGGAGGGACAGGGCCCTGCACCGCCACCTGCAAACCCACACTTGAGTTTCAAGACCCCGGTCCTTGCCTCTCCTCGGTTAGCAACGATAACCTGCGGGCACAAAGTCAGGAACCACGTTGTTTCCATTTTGCAAACGGTTTGTGTTGTGTTGCTGCTGGGCAGAGGTCACCGTTGTTCCCCAAACGGTGCTGTCAGTCTAAAACCGTGTTCTTTGTTTTCTTCCGTTTACCTGTCTACAGAACTTAGCAGGTCGTGCCTGAAAATAATGCATAAGGCATAAAACGTGGCTAAGTCGATGCATTTTTTTTTTCTCCTCGTACACACAGTGTTTTGGATGCGCGGTGCCAAGACCGGGGCGGCCTCACCGAGATTGGCGGGGTCGGAAGCACACACTCACCTGCCACGTGCGCAGACGGTCCTAGAGCGCAGGTGCCTCCCTCGGCACTCGCTCCATAAGTGATCGGCACTCGTCCAAGAGGGACGTGAACGTGGAAAAAGGTAAGTCTCGTCTCCGTGCTTCGTGAGGGCATAAGTAGGTTGGTGTTTGCGTTTTCGCTGAGCGCACGGCAATCCCGACACGCGCACACGGCCGTGGCGGGGCTGTGCAGTGATACTGCCCTCACTGTTACTCTGCGGTGGGGGTCCTGTTAACTCGGATTCCGAGAAAGCCGCGTATTTGGACCCTAGCCCGGCTGACAGCTGGGGCCGGATGACTGTCGGGTGAGGCGTCCTACACCATAGGCTGTGGGGTCGGGTCCCTGGTTTCCACCCGCCACATACCAGGAGCACTTGCATCCTCGTCGTGACAACCGAAAATGTCCCCAGACCCTGCCGAGTGTCCCCTGAGTGGGGAGGAGGGGGGGAGGGCGTGTCCCCATTTGAGAAGCTGTGGAGGAAAGTTCTATCAAACTTATCCAGACACCCCACCTATAAAATTCGATTAAGCTCATATCAGGTTGTATCCGAGTGGGTTCTGTGAGGGTCGCACAAACTCTTATGCTAGCAACATTGTATCAAGTCACGGGAGGGTTCCACTCCTCGTTCTAGCCACATTGTATCCAGTCGCAAGAGGGATCCACTCCCCCTTGTAGCTAACGTTGTATCAAGTCGTTCTTCTGTGAAGATGGTACCAACCCGCCCTGTTAGTGTTGCAGGATCTCTTCTGCAACGAACCATGTACCTATGAAGGACTTCACTCCACTGCTTCAAGCCTTATTCTATCAAGACGGCGTTACCGCTCGCTTGGGGGAAGGGTGTCGTTTCTCATTTGCTACAGTCGCATTCACTTTACGACTCCATGACACCTTGTGCTGAGCCATTAGGAACGCCTACCGCATTTAGATTTTATTGACTCCTTCTATCAAGGTCATATTGAGTTTTATTCGATCAAAGTCATATTAAGTACTATTCCGGGAACGTTATATTCAGTCTCACCCCATTGAGGTCGTATTCACTATTATTTTGTCAAGATCCGATTAAGTTTTATTCTATCAAGGTCACGTTAGGTTTTATGGTATCAAAGTCGTATGAAGTATTATGCTATCAAGGTTGTATTAGGTTTTATGGTATCAAGGTTGTATTAAGTTTTATTGTATCAAAATCCTATTAAGTTCTTTTCTGTGAAGGTTGTATTAGATTTTATTGTATCAAGATTCCATTCAGTTCTGTTGTACCGAGATACTACTGAGTTATTTTCTATGAAGGTTGTGTTGGGTTTTATGGTATCAAGGTTGTATTAAGTTTTATTGTATCAAGATTGCATTCAGTTCTATTGTATCAAGATCCTATTAATTTTTTTAAGATTTTATTTATTGTATCGAGATTGCATTCAGTTCTATTGTATCAAGATCCTATTAATTTTTTTAAAATTTTACTTATTTATTTGACAGAGAGAGATCACAAGTAGGCAGAGAAGCAGGCAGAGAGAGAGGGAGAAGCAGGCTCCCCGCTGAGCAGAGCGCCTGATGTGGGGCTCGATCCCAGGACCCTGAGATCATGACCTGAGCCAAAGGCAGAGGCCTTAACCATCTGAGCCAACCAGGCACCCCGAGATACTATTAAGTTCTTTTCTGTGAAGGTTGTGTTGGGTTTTATGGTATCAAGATTGTACTAAGTACTATTCTGTGAAGGTCGTGTGCCATCTTCTTCCATTAACCTTGTGACAATGGGGTAACACGGCGTCACGTGTACTGATCCCAAAATTTATAACGCGGCAATGTGAGCCAGAAGAAACCGCCCCAGCTGGTCTGGAAACACTCCACGAGCACAAGTAAGTCACGTCTTCAAGCAACAGAAACGCAGTCAATGATTATGATTGTTTGGTCGAAAAATGGTCCTTTTCCGCACCTCAAAGGCTCTGCAGGAGGAATGCTTAACCCGTGGGGGTCGACAGACTGAATCAGGGGGAACCTGTGAGCTCGGTTGTGGACGACGTGAGGTTTCCGTATTCGTGACCTCTGCCCAAACTCAGCACCTGCTTTGGTTATAAATTAAGAGAAAAGCACGGCCGTGTGACGGTGTCCGTGACTCAGTGACCCGGGGAAGACAGAATGTCTTTGTGTCTTGTGGCATCTGACCCAGGCCACTCGAAATACCACTGGCAAGCACACGGCGCCATGGTGCCCGTGGGTTGGACCCTGCTGGCTGCATAGATCCCTGCAGTCCCCCACCCTGTGCCCCAGCGTCTGCCGTCTGTGGGCGTCTCTGTGCCTTGTGGATGCTCAGCCAGCACACGGTGAAGCTGTGTGTTCCCCAAATTAGAGGCTCCCTGCGAAGAGCCAGGGAGGGTCCCCCCAACCCCGTCCCATGAGAGAAGTCCACCACCACCCTGCCCAGCAGCTGTGAACGATCCCCTGCCGTCTGCGTCCGCACAGCTGTCCACATGGACACGTTCCACACCTGAACCCTGGAGATTTACAACACAGCATGCATGTGTCCCGCCAACGTCCACCTCCCACTGCCAAGACCCTCAGCCCCCAGCCCCGACACCAATGGAGCTTTAAAATATAAAATGTAGGGGCGCCTGGGGGGCTCTGATGGTTAAGCCTCTGCCTTCGGCTCAGGTCATGATCCCAGGGTCCTGGAATCGAGCCCCGCATCGGGCTCCCCGCTCGGAGGGGGCCTGCTTCCCCCTCTGCCTCTCTCCCCTGCTCGTGCATGCTGTCTCTCTCTCTCAAATAAATGCATAAAATCTTTAAAAAATAAAATAGATAAAATCTTTAAAAAATAAAATAAAATATAAAACTAAAGTTCACATAGCAGGAGAATCGGCAGGAGGCGTTTTAAATGAAAGAAGTCTGGGGCGTGTGGCTCGTTCACTGCCTTGTTGAACCACCACCTCTGTCTGGTTGCAGATTGTTCCCATCTTCCCTAAAGGAGAAGCCGAGCCCATTGGCTGTCCCTCCCCACTCTCCTCTCTGGCATCCAGCGACCACCACCCGGCTTCCCGTTCCCATGAATTTGTGAGTTCTCGGCGTTTTGCATAAATGCCATCACACCCCGCGTGGCCCGCGTGTCTCCGGTTTCCGCACCGGATCTGCTCAGCCACTAGAAGGGATGACATACTGACGCGTGCCATGTTATGGACGGACCCCCAGACTGGCCTCTAGCTTAAGCCATCCCTGGTTGCTTCGTGTGTTCATGGACAAGCATCTGTGTGACCCTGTCACAAAATGGGTTTTCAGTGTTTCGATCCCCGTCTTTGAATGAATGTTGCCCCACGCCCCCGTGGACAAGTTTCTGCCCAGCCACCTGCCCGTCGTGCAGGAACAGTCCACCCCGAAAGGACACTCTGGACCCATTAAGCGGTCACTCCCCATTGCCCAGCTTCCGCCAACGGGATCCAAGCGTGCCCTGCGGAATGTTGTCCCCGTGCTCCTACCTGGGAGACCATGAACCCGTGTGCGTACTCGGTGAGCAGACAGTATGCCTGTTCCTCGGGGGAACTCATCTTTGTCCCACGCCAGGCTGGCCTTCAGAGCCCCCAGTTGTCCCAGCAGCAGGGCGTGTGGGTCTGTTGGCAAGCGCTGGGGCGACCGGTGGCTCCGAGCTGCTGTCCGAGCTCCTTGCCAGAAGCCCAGGGACAGCCAAAGGCGGATCACTCCAGAAAATCCCACTAGTCCTATTAAGGGGATGACAAAGCTTGAGGGTCCTTGCTGGCTTCCTGCTGGCTCCTTCTGTCCCTGCCGCGCACACAGCCCCACAACAGCCCACACCTCTCCCCTCCCTCCCCACACCTCTCCTCTCCCTCCCCACACCATCAGCAGTGGAATGGATCCAAAGCTATAGGCTTGCTCGTGGCTACCACTGATGACTCATTTCCGGCACTGGAGACCCTCTAGTCCCCTTTACATGGACAGACAAACGGGTATCATTAATCTCCCAGGGCTACGAGCATCACAAACCACACAAGACCCACTGGGCTAAACCCAAGGAACTTATCTTCCCCCCAGCTCTGGAGTCCAGAACCACCACCGAGGTCCAGGCGGGGCAGGACCACTGAGACCCAGGCAGGCCAGGGCTATGCTCCCTCCACAGGCTTCAGGACAGGGTCCTTCCTCCCTCCTCCAGCTTCTGGGATTCCAGGCGTCCCTCAGCCATGGCCGCGTCCCTGCCATGTCTGCCTCCATCCTCAGGTGGCTTCTCCTCTGTGTCAGTGTCCCCTCTTCTGCTTCGTACGAGGACCCGTGTCGTGGACTTAGGGCCGCCCCGGTGCAGGAGGAGCTCATGTCGGATCCTTCCCGTCATCACCTCTGCAAAGACCCTGTTTCTGAACCAGTTCCCATCGTGAGGTTACCGGGATCAGGACATGGACATGTTGGGGACACATTCAATGGACACATTTAACCCACAGTAGACAGGGTGAGCTCAGCTGCCTTCCACGGCTCAGGATCCTTCCAACGTTGTCTGAAGTCACGTCCTCCTTTGCTTTCCACAGCCAGCAAACGCCCCCGAACCCATTCCACAGACTTGGGCTCTGAAACTGTTACTAATCGTGTGTCTTGCTGCTGCTAACGGTGCATGGCAGGGACTTTAGTGAGGGGTGTCACCGAAACGTGGCCGCTGAAACATGGGCACGTTATCTGTCCCCCCGGACCCTGCCGTCCATCCGTCGGTGTCCAAGATGTCGGGAGCACCTCAGGTGACAGACGGCGGAGGCCACACGTGGGCAGTGGGCTCCCATAGAGGAAAGCAACGGCTGTCCCCGTGCCGCTCCCTCCAGGACCTCCCCTCCCCATGGGTCTCACCTGACCGGAGCCCCTGTGCCACCTGGCCACTGCTCCTTGGGGTCACACTCCGCTATTCCTATTAACACCAGCAACTTTGTGCAGGAAACATTATCATCCCAGTAGCCACAATCTCCAGGCCACAGACATGAATTCCGGAGAGTCCGGGCAGACAGCGGGGGATGCGGGCGACCGGGCATCCTAGGGATGTGCTGGCAACAGGAGGCACGGCGGTAGCAGTGCGGGCGCCAGGTGAGGGGTGGACAGGAAAACAAGGAGGTAGCCTGAGACCCTGGGGCTGGCGGGGGGAGCCGGGTCCATGCTGGGGCAGGACTGGCTGAGGTGCCCATCAATGGGGACATCATGGCAACTGGGCAGGAGGGTCCAGGCTGCACGCAAGACGGCAATGCCCAGTTCACACGAGGGAGGAGGACCCGTACGTTCCCACCCCGCCGGTGCCAGCAGAAGGGAGCGGGAACAGAGACTGGAGGCAGGCAGGGTCTCGTGGCTGCAGGAAGGGTCACCTGCCATTTTCGTATTTTAGATTGTATTGTGTTGCATTTCGTGTCTTTTCATTTCATTTCCTTATTTTATTTCTATTGGTTTTTCTATTTGCATTTGTTTTACTTTTTATTATTTTCTTCCATTCGTTTTGTTTTTCATTTTATCATTTCATTTTTATTTATTTTATTATCTTACTTTATTATATCACTTTATTTTATTTTCTAAAGAGATTGACTTATTTTAGAGAGCGAGAGAGCACAGCAGAGGGAGCAGAGGGAGAGGACCTCAAGCAGAAGGCTCCAGCGCTGGGCGCAGAGCGTGACGCGGGACTCGATTTCGCGACCCTGAGATCACGACCTGAGCGGAAATCAAAGTTAGACGTTGAACCAACTGAGCCACCCAGATGCCCCTATATTGCTTTATTGCGAAAATTAACACATTAAGACTTACTGAACCAATTTATTGTTTTTCATCCCATTTCACTTTATTTACTTTATTATTTTTGTAAGTCACCTTAATGTCCCCCATACAAGGAGGCGCCATCATCCCGGTGTTGTGCAGTTACCATCCTTCGTCCTCTGATCTGAGCATCCCTCTGTGGCTCCCCATGTCCCACAGGTGCCGAGGTCCACCCCTGGGCTCCCCGGTCAGTGTGCTGGCGCCCAGGTGGTGTCTGGGACCCCCTCACTTGCACGGTTTCCACCACATCCTGGCAGACAGTCTGGCCGTGTCTCTGCAGCCCTGCACACACCATCACTTACAACCCCTTTCCACAGCGCAGCTGCTGGAGTATGGACTTCTCCTCCATGAGTACCTCGCCTCAGTTTGCCAAGTTCTCCGAAATTTCTCCCCGGTACGTCAATGGCAACGACCCTGAACAGGGATGCCTGCGTGGCTCAGTCGGAAATGACCCTGAGCGGACAGCCCAGCGCTACGAGGTTTCCTGCTTCTCGCGTTCACAGTTGTCTCCAAGGCCGGGGGTCTTTCGTGGCCCTTCAACGACATTTTCCACGTTTTACGGAGCCTGCAGTTCCTTGCAGATCCGTTTCTCGGTGCCCGGTAGCTTCTCCGCTCTTCTGGATGCTTTGTCCTCACTGGGACGCCTTCTAAGGGGTCACCGCTGATGCGCAGAGGCACGATGCACGGCGGGATCTCCTCCCGGCTGACCTGCGGAGATGCTGAGAACTTCTGTGCACCACTCTGTGTCCTGCAATCTCTAGGAGCAAACCAACCTTCTCCAGGTGTCTTGAGATTTTCGTGTGGGTGATTAAAGTGCCCGCATGTGATCAACACACGGCTTCTTCCTTTCCAAGTCGAAGACGGAGGGAGAGGAGGAAAACTGACGTTGGGTACGTCTGCAGAAACCTTTAGTCAACCCACGTCTCTCATGATTAGGCCCATATTTATTCAGCTAGTGATTGACATATGTATCCTACTCATTCATTCTGGCTTTCGTGACATGCCCGGGTAGTGCTACCGCTTGGCCTAGTCCCTGTCAAAGGGTTTAGTCGATTTGAAGTTCTAGTCCGGCTTGCTTTGTTTTGGAGACATAAAGGCAGTCTTTCAAAAAGCGGAAGTTGCACCATTTACTTGATAATCCATGAAAACCAGTTGGGACCTGTATGAAAAGGTCACGTATCTGAATGCATGGTCACCCACTCATTTTTGGTTTTTCCTTGTCCTGCCTCTTTCTGGTCCCAATAGGTGCCCCCACCTGTCTCTCACGCCCTCTTGATGCTTGATTTCACGAGCAAAGCCCAGATGGCGGCTGTAGGCCCTCCTGCAGCCTCTGCTTTCCTCCACCCTGCGCCCCTGCAAGTCTGAGCTCAGCATCCGCTCACCATGCCTTGCCTGTGCCATGCCCCATTTCGGGGACAGCATCACCTGTCTGGGGGTGCAGGCAAGGCTCCAAGGGAGAGCTCTACACCGTTGTGACAAGACACCAGGCTTCTCCTGTGGGTGGGTGGGTGGGCCATGGGCTATGTGACAGAGCCTGAAATGTCCGTGCACAGCCGCATGCACAGAAGCTGGAGGTAAGACGCAGAATGACGCTCGGGTGCCAGAGGGGGTCACAGGAGGGACAGGACGACCCACTACTGCTTGCATTTGCTTGATTAGCGTGCAAGCAGCCTTTCTCAGACAGGACGCCCCATCCCAGCGGGGAGGATCTCCCTGGGATCTTCTATTAAGGCGATTACTTTAGTAATGAGATTGAGGGCCGAGACGGGCTGCAGACTAATGCCTACAATTCAAGGTCAGCGCTCACGTCCTCCCCTTCTGGAAGCCGAGTCCCGAACACGAGTAAACAGAGGACCCCCGTGTCCGAGCGGATGGGAATGGACAGCCACCCCCTTGCATATCTCCAACCACTGGTGCGGCATCCACGTTCGCCTGCCCAGGCCTGAGCGGTCCGTATTCCTTGCGGGAAGAAGTGAGATGCCATCTTGACAGAAGACAATTCCCACCACACGCAAAACAGAGAAAGGATCTGCACGGACGGGAGTTGTCCAAACATGAACCAGCTCATGGGTTTCTTTTGGGGGGGAGGGAAAAACATTCTCAGGTGTGTGCGTGCTGATGGCTGCCCATGTCTCTGTGCCCAAAGATGCTGGATTGTGGCCTTCCCACGGGTGGATGTTATGGGACGTGCAGTGTATGCACTCTCGCGTCGGGCTCCTTTCTGGAGGCTCAGGTCCCACGACACGATGGGGCGAAACACCATGCGGAAGGTGACCCTTAGCTCGCAAAACCGTGGACCTCGGTAGCACGCGGGCACCGATGGGGGAGCGTGTGTCCACAGACCCCGCACCCGTGTCAGCCCGGAGCCCTGGAATCAGGCAGACGGCCTTCGGGATCTCGTCCACGCTCCCGGAAGGACTCTACTGGGCACATAAGGTGGGAAATCACGAGCCTGGTGGGTCAGTGCGAAGGTGACCGAGGCGTTAGGCGGCTGATTGCATCAATTCTAAAATCATGTTATTGATTGATTTTATAGGGGGCCATCCTGGCAATGAGGACACTGTCCGGGATTGAATAACGTCCCCATAACGTTCCTGGACCCTTGGGAGGGGACTTCTCAGGACAAGGGTGTCTGCAGATGGGATGAGTGAGCAGACGGGCCGCGGGCAAAGAGGAGGGAGCAGCAGGTCCGCCTGGCCGGCGGGCTGTGTGTGCCAGAGCCAGGGAAAGGTGCAGTGTGACTGGCGGGAACATGTGTCCA